GGGGGGCAGAGGAGGAGCAGGAGGTACTGGGGGGGGGCAGTGTGGGGGATTCACACGCAGCCCTCGGCCGCGCACACGCGTGCGTGCTCCCGATCAGCTGGGCGAGAGGGGAGCGTCTCCTGACAGGCTGATCACCCAGTCGTGCCTTCTGACCGTAGTCACTTACCTCCTGGCGGCGACACGGCTCTGAGACGACCTGCGGAGTCGCTTCCTGCGTGTCGTGCCCCGGGCGCCTCTCCCCCGCCCGCACAGCGCTTAGCGAGGGTTACAGGGGAAAACACGGGTGCTGGATGGTCGTGAAGCGACTTCGCTCCTGACACAGGCGACACCAAACTCAGGTGCAAACTGGCCAGCGAGCTGACAGACGTCTCGCATAAGACCTTTTAAGGCCCTCCCACCGTCCCCTCCCCTCTGCCCGTATCAGCCTCGCCATTGGCCCGCTGCCGACTGCCCTCGCCTCCCGTTGGCTGAACTGGGGCTCAATCCCACCGGCGGGCCCGCCCCCTGCCCCCGCCGCAACCGCCGCTGCTGGTTGGCGAGAACTGGGTCCGGCCTTTTCCCCGCCCCCTCGATGCGGCTCCCCGCAACCCATTGGCCAGAGCAGACCCAATCCGACGCCCCGTGAGGTTCTATTGGCCCACGCCGCCGCCGCTCACACACGCCGGGCGGCTGGCTGGGGACCCACCCACTACCTCACGGGGCTCTCCGCGCCGCTATTGGCCGAGAGCGCTTTCCGTCGCCTGGCGCCGGGCTGCGATTGGTCCGGGAGGGCCTGCGCGAGTCGTCATGCCTCGCCGCGCGCCCGCGACTCGAGGGAGGCGCCTCGCGGACTCATTCATTCACTTCAAAGCGGCGACCGCTTGCTCGCGCGCGCGCGCTCGTCCCCGGCTCTTTTAAGCGCGTGAACAGCAGGAGCTCGGAGTTAAAAGTTAAAATGTTTGAAATAGTTGTAGTTCAGGTCCGCCGTCTGCACAACGCGCCGTTCAAAACATTCCCCAAACACGCCCCGCTTTTCCTGACGGCTGGAGCCTCCGTCACACA